ACATTTTATGGGGGTGGAGTGGGGAATGGGATCAAAAACGGTGGGGGGAGGGAAGTGCACTGGACTATGGTGATGGCACATGGGTGACTTGGTGATGGGAAACACATGGGGATTACAATTGAGATGAAAAAATATATATATACAAAATGATGTAAAAATAAACTATATAAAAAAAATCCAATGGCATTTCCAATAGCAGAGCATGTGAAGACCAAAATGAAAATATAGTACCATCTACAGTCACTAAGAAAAAGGGGCTACTAGATAGAAATTTAAAGAAAAAAGTATCAATCTTGTATGCTCACACCTATACAGCACTGATTAAAGAAATCAAAGATCTCAATAAATAAAAAAACTTAGCATGCTATGGATTAAAAGTTTCAGTGATGACAAGGTTCCCATATTGGTATACACAGGTTTAATGTATTTCCTGTCAACATTCCAGAAAGATTTATCTTTGTAGATAGACAAAATTATAATTAAATGAAGAGGTAAAGGTAATAGAATACCTCATTTTGTCTCAAAAAAAAATAGTTATTTCAATAGTGTTGGAGAAATATAGTATCTATAGGCAAAAAGTGAACCTTGTCTCACACTTTATAAAAAAGCTAATACATCATAGGTTTAAACAAAAAAACACAAATGTATGAAACTCTTAGGATAAAATATGTGAAAAAACTTTCAGATTTAGGTTATGTAAAGACGTCTTAAACCTGAATAAAAGACATAATTCATTTTAAAAAATCAATAAACTGGACATCTTCAAAATTAAAAAAAAAAAAAAAACACTTGCTTTGTGAAAGACCCTGCTAAGAGAATGAAAATATAAACTAAAGATTGGCAAAAAATATTTGCAAACCACATGTATCCCAGAAGAAACTCATCTAGAATGTTCTGAGGACCTCAAAGACAACAGTATGAAAAGTCAAGTAACCAGATTAGAAAACAAAAGACATGAAGGGGTATTTCATAAAGATAAAGAGAAAGTAAAAACAAAAAGATGACATTAGCCATTAGGGAAATGCAAAATAAAATCACAATGGGGTACCCCAACAAACTTATTAGAACATCTAAAATTTTTTTTGAAAAGTGGACTTCTCCCAAGTGCTGATGAGGATGATGCAGAGAAACAGGTACAGTTACTCCAGAGTGGTTGGGAAGCTTTTTTAAAAAATAAATAAATAAGTAAACAAACCAAAAAAAAAAAAAACAAAAAAACAAACAAACAAAAAAAAACATGATCCATCAGATGCACAGATGGCTCACCTGGGCATAGAAAATGAACATTTATGTCCACTCAAAAATATGTCCATGAATGTTTATAGCATTTTTATTTGTAGTAGACAAAACTGGAAACAACAAAAATGTCCTTCAACAGGTGAAGGACACCTGGTCCATCCAAACCATGGAATTCCAGCCAGCTATGGAAAGGAAAGAGGAGGCACAGGCCACAACCCAGAAAGACCCAAGAGCATAGTGTTGAATAAAGAAAAGTCAACTTACAAGGCTACATGGTGGGAGTCCATTCTTGAGGGACAAAATTATCAGGAGGGACCCAGGGTTGGGAGTGGCTGGAAGGAGACAGGTATGCTCAGGACCGGGAGGGGCCTTGGTGGTAATGGAAATGTTCTGCACCTGCAAAGAGCTGGTGGCTCCACAAACCTGCCTCACGGTGAAATGACATAGAATTGCACACACACACACTGCACTCAGTGTGCACATCCTAGCATGGACACACTGTGTTACACAAGATGTGACCCCAGTGACACTGGGCAAGGGGGACCAGAGCCTGCCCACACAGGCTACCTGATTCCACAGCTCCCACATGTGCAATTGTTACTATGTCAGTTGTCCTCCAGAAAGCGCTCCACATATTAGATAAGTGAATAAAACTTGAGCCATTCGCAATCTCCATTGGGAAATAAATCGCTGAGATTTTGAAGTGGACCCCTCCAGACCTTCCCCTAAGCCACTATGTCTGTGAACGTGCATTTTTCAAGGCACGGGGTCACACTTGGGATTCCACAGGCAGTGCCGCCTCCTCTGGGCCTACGCACAGGAGAAAGAACTGTGAGCTGTGAACGCCGCCTTCCAGTTAATGTGTTAGTGCCCTGTGTGCCTGTGAATTCTCCTCCTCCTGGGACCTGACACATTTTGTAAATGTTAGAGAAACAACCCCCCAATGTGTGTCTGTGAGACAGCATGTTGGCCATCCTGCTGTGTAGGGTCCACTGAGAAGGCAAAAGCAGACAGGCACCACCATCACGGCATTTCAGATGCCCGTGCTTGTTTTGTACTGAGCAGCTCACTGTCTGCTGGCCCAGGATCTGCAGAAGCAAAGACGTAGC